GCAGAAGCAGAGACAGAGACTTTTCCGTATGGGGAATATATTGGTTTTTGGAATGTACAGGCTTTTTGTGTTTGTTTGTTATACGACCCAGAGTTGTGCTTGCCTATCTCAATGAATATTTAATCCTTATCTTTTACATCGAAGTCGGTTCAATTTGTTTTTTTCTTTTCCCCACATCACATTGAAGTCGAAATTCTTGAGCAATGTTAAAAATTTCAATTGGCGTTAATTAGACTGGATTCCAATACCATACGGTGTTAGATTGATGGTTCGTAGAAGAAGTCAGATCCAACATCTGGGGTTGGATAATTCTATTATGAAGGAAGCACGGCAATGCTTAAAAAAGCAAAGGGGACCAGACGATTGATATCACTTTTGTAAACCGAGATAAAAGCTTTGTTGTGGGCAATGATGTGCATTTTGGATAACAATGTCGATTGTAGTTTGAGATATATTGCTCTGTCTTGGTCCGAATTTCGCAATCTTCAAAGGAGTGGTCTGTTTTCGTCATTTTCACGGCTTATTTTACATACTTACGGACGAGGTTTGCGATTTTCTCATTATCACTGGTTCTTTATGTGAGTGGATTGATTTCCCTCATCAGGTTCCATTGATATACAAAAAGCTATAAATAGCTAAAGTAGTTAGTTACATAGTTGTTCCACAAAATCGGGGATACAAAACAATATTAATAAGTTTATCTAAGATATTTTGTAACATAATATTCCTAAATTCTATCACTTCATCTTTCTAACATGCATGCAAATTGTTTAGCCAGTTCAGATCGTTTAAGATTTATTAATTTTTTTTTATAATAAACAATTCACTTTCACATTGGGATAACCAACCGTGAGAGATTCTTTTAATAAAATTTTTATTAGTTGTCAAAATAAAATAAAAAATTGGATATTAACATCTAAAAAAATCGAGATAAGAAAAAAAAAATTGGTTAGGCGATCTGATTTTTTTACCAATGCATCCTTCAACTGTTGGGTTTTCGTTAGGAAAAAAAAAACCCACCTATAAATTTTAGGCTGCTTAGAATTTCTTGAATAAAGGAATATGATCTAACTGTGGATTTTATTCGTACCGGAGAAATAATACTTTGACACATGAGCGGTCCTAAAACTAAAGAAAAATAATATTTGTTCTTTTATTGATACAGAAAGGAAATTCCAATTTCAAAAGTTGGTGAAGTTGTTTATTTATGATGTACTCCTTGTTATTAGTGACGATGGCCTACTTGATTCTCTTATTCAAAGATCAAATCCCGAAATAAGTAAAGCTAGTATTGCCCACTGGCTAATCATCAAACCTCGTGAACTGTAATTGTAGCAATGTTAAAACAAAAAAGTTGAATTCTGTTTTGGGAAAACTTAAATTAGACTTGCTAAACAATTCTGACTAATTGTTAGACCTTTTTTTTGTTTTATACCTATGTTTCACCATAAATGTCATCTTATGTTTCAAAAAACTTTGGTAATTTTTAAAAATCTAAGAATGAATGTCTATCAAAATTAGGAATGGACATTTCGATTTATT